CTTGGTTGGTTGGCCGGGTCACCGGACATATTTTTTAAACTAGATACCCCAATGATGATTGTGGCCAAGTTTGGTTTAATTTGGCCAAGTAGTTTCCGAGGAGAAGATTTTTGTAAAAGTTAACGACGACGGACGACGACGACGACAAGTGATGAGAAAAGCTCACTTGGCCCTTTGGGCCAGGTGAGCTAATAAAACAAACATATATTTGATTTATTTTATTAAATACTGTGTATAATGCTGCTTTCAAAACAAGGCTCACCCACTTTGTATTATGCAGCAAACTCTGAATTTGTAAGGTATACTCGGGCTAGCAGGTAGTTTTGATGGGATAGCAGCTCTTTCAACAGGGCTAGTAAAATACTGCTACCAATAAGTCCTGGGCTAGTGAGCTGTAACAAAATTTTTTAACCCCTGGAACGTGTAGGGTGCGAAAGTGTATTGGGCGCTAACGGACCTGATACCTGGTGGCCTTGGGTTGACTTGTATATTTTGGTTGGGTTGTCTCTTTGACACATTCCCCGTTTCCATTCTTATTCTATACATGTAGTGTCAAATATACTTTTATAAAAGAGACAAAAGACCAAGTTTTGGAATATGTAACTTCTCTCTGAAAAAACGGGTTAATCATACAAAAATGTACAATACCCAGCTGATATCTGAAACTACAACATTTGTATCAAGGCTGCATGTAGGTGAAAAAGTTAACTCGTGACAGGCAAGGCTTTCGTGCTCATACCGTAAAAAACACACGCCATAACATTCCTTAAAACTGTTCCTTTATTTTTAGTAACAGCGGTATAATAGCTTATTGTAGAATAGCATCTTTCCAAATTAAAAAAAAGCTCCATATTATGATCTATGCCAGGAAGTTACCATAATGCCATAGAAAGACATCTATAGCCGCTGCTTATTTTTGCGTTATAGTATTCAGATATAAAATTGAGAATGGAAATGGGGAATGTGTCAAAGAGACAACAACCCGACCATAGAGCAGACAACAGCTGAAGGCCACCAATAGGTCTTCAATGCAGAGAGAAACTTCCGCACCCGGAGGCGTCCTTCAGCTGGCCCCTAAACAAATATGTATACTAGTTCACTGATAATTGACGTCATACTAAACTCCAAATTATACACAAGAAACTAAAATTAAAAATGATACAAGACTAACAAAGGCCAGAGGCTCCTGACTTGGGACAGGTGCAAAAATACGGCGGGGTTAAACATGTTTTTTGAGATCTCAACCCTCCCCCTATACCTCTAGCTAATGTAGAAAAAACAAACGCACAACAGTACGCACAGTAAAAATTTTGTCTACATGATATGTTCAGTACAGTATACATTTTGTCTTATACATGTATCTACAGTATATCCTGTTTTATTTTAGAAAATGAACAATGTCGCTCTCATGAAAGAAATTTAAGCATGTTTGACTTTGCAGCATATATAGACTCTTATAAATAAGTATCACATAACTCTTTCAAATCCTGCAATCAAAATACCAGGACCCTTCCTCATGCAGTGTATAACTAAGTTCGGGTACATGTATGCTTTGATTATTAAATGCAAAGTAAACTGGAAAATTCTGTTTAAAAAATCAGACGACATGAACATTTATATAAACGACCGTTAATATACATATAATTCTTAAGAAATAAGAGAAACATAATCTATTTGTAACTTGCAACTCGACCTTCGTAACTCGCAACTCGACCCTTCGTAACTTGCAACTCGACCTTTGTAACTCGCAACGACCTTCGTAACTCGCAACTCGACCTTCGTAACTCGCAACTCGACCTTTGTAACTGGCAACTCGACTTTCGTAACTGGCAACTCGACCTTCTTAACTCCCAACTCGACCTTCGTAACTCGCAACTCGACATTCTTAAATTGCAACTGGACTTTCGTAACTCACAACTCGACTTTCGTAACTTACAACTCGACTTTTGTAACTCGCAACTTGCAACTCGACAATAAGAACCCCTCTCCCGGAGGATAGTTATGGTAGCAACTATAAACAAATCGAGCTGCTCGTCTCTGTACCTGCTCTATGTCACGTATGATGGTAATTTGGTGAGGATCCCATACTGGGAAAGCATATTGCAGAGTTGGTCTTACTAACGTGGAGTAAGCTGTGGCTTTTGTTGCTGGGGTACACCTACCCAGGGTTGTCAATGATATTATATTTCACTGGACCACCTGGGACCAACATTTCAATTTGCACGTTTTATTTTAACATACTTCTTTGTGTATTCACAACATATTGTATATATGCATCTTTGAGTATAATCGACAAAAACCATTTCCTTTCACAATCGTAACAGGAAACATACTTTCACAGGCGGCGGGAAACTAATATCTATAAACGCATAATATACAACTCGTTTCAGGACTTGTTTCCGGATTTTTTTATGATAAAATTATAAGTCAGACAGCTGGGACTAGCAGACAGGTTGCAGTCATACCGGTTGATCCAGGGATACGTAGAGGACATACGCTGCACTTTGATCTTCAAAAAGTTTCTCATTGTTTCTCACGATTTAAATGATTTTTTTAACAAAAAATCGTTAAAAAAGTTCCGCTCTAATACACCTTATCGCTTTTTGTCCGTCATTACTGGACATCATATTCCCGTAAAAATTTTGACGTGACAATAGAAAATGTCTTGCGCCACAAAGGTAACGTGATTGTTGTATGACGTCAGCAGTCCAAGTCAGTGGCGTATCCAGGGGGGGGGTTCCGGCCCGGGGGTTGGAATCCCCCTTTTTTTGACGATCAATGCATTTGAAAGGGGACATATAGTTGGAACCCCCCCCCCCCCTTTTTATCCTGTTTTGGGAACCCCCCTTGTGAAAATGGCTCAGTGGATCAGCACCTGCAAGTGTCGCAGATTCCTAAATAGCGATAGCTAGGGTCTATTTCCGCTCGTCGGTACTAGATAGATTCCGTTTTCTGAAATAACGCCGCCTCCTCTTTTGAAAAATCCTGGGCCCGCTCCGAGTCTTGTATATTGACTGCTCCATAGTCTTATATGGTAAACAAAAAGGCTGCATAGAAACAATTTTCCTTTTACAATTCGTAATGAGACTTTCCGTTGAATATATGAAAAGCCGGGTTGATTATACCTTGTCAAAGACCCCCTAAGAAAAATTTCAGGCACATTTCAATCTCTCACATGCCTTGTTTTTGAACCCCTCAAATGCCAAATTGTGCCAGCAATTTCTCAATTTTACATATTAAGACAACAAAAAAAAAACATCAGAAATAAAAATGGGCACACTTCAGAGGTATATTATGAGCCAATCGGGGCTAAGAAATGACTTTTGATATCCCTCAGAAAATACATCCACCCCTTTAAAGATATAAAATGATTCTGAATTGTCCAATGTACTAGTACTAAGTATGATCATGTGAACAGTTTTCTTGAAAGAAAACGAAAAATGTTGCATACCAAAAAATTACTTGCTTTGCAGTATGAAGATCACATAGACAAAATGAAGAAAAAAATCTGACATTTGGTCGTCAATCGGCAAGTCTTATACATACAAATAAATTATCAGTGACCGCTGTCGATAATAAACTAGCAATTGATTGTTAATCGTAAAAAAAATGTTGTTTGTAGTAAATTTATTGAAGTATTACACAGAAAAACACAAAAAATAATTACAATTAAAAGAAAACAAAAAATAACGGATTTTGAAATAAGGGGGAGGGCAAAAAAATTTCCTGTCTATAAGTTCAATGACACTCCGGAAGGCGCCTGCTACTATGTCATGTCAATGTTGTTTACTTTTTTTAATAATTTTTAATAAACAATGTTTAACTATACCTCAGAAAAAGACGAATGATTTGTGTCGAAAGTTTTATTTGTTGTTTTAGTGTAGGTGTTGTCATGCAGAGAAAATAAATCAATAAAAGAGAGGAGAAAGTTATCAGAGGGACATTCAAACTCATAAGTTGAAAACAAACTGACAACGCCATGCATGGCTAAAAAAGAAAAAGACCAACAGACAAATAATAGTACACAAAACACGACATAGAAAACTAAAGACAACACGAACCCCACAAAAAACTGGCGGGTGATCTCGGGAGCTCCGGAAGGGTAAGCAGATCGTGGCCTGCTCCACATGTGTCACCCGTCGTGTTGCTCATGTTAGTACAAATCAGGTAATAAGTCTAATTCGGTAGGTCACATTCAGGAAAATAATTTATGTCTAGGCCACATGACTGGATAATTCAAATGGTATAATCAATGGTACATTTGCATGTACAATGAATAAGGAAGTTATGTTTAATTCTTTGTTAGATGGACCTTTAAATAGATTTACCTTTGTTAGCTGTCCATTGAAAGAGCACTGATAGCTATTACAAATCATTTACGGGGGATAAACAAAGACCATTGAAAAACCTGTAAGACTTGTTTATAAGTTTATTTTAAACTAGTAAATATGTGCATCTTACAAGGCTTAGCAAGTTTGTATTATGACGTCCAGCTTTTCTGTTTGGTTTACTATGAATTGAATTAAAAAACTTGGTAAAATAGTAAGTTTTCAGAATGAGGTCCTCAAAGGGGGCATATATACGTGAAACATATGATATCTTTCACCAGTGGCAGATCCAAGACTTTCATAAAGGGAGGAAGATACGGAGGAGTATATTAAAAAAAGTAGGCTGTCAAAAATTTTAAAAAAAGAACTAAAACATATTTTTCAACATAAGATGCATCCCTGATACGCCCATGTTCACGAAAATCTACAATATTATTTTCTTTTCATAAAGGTCATTTAATGTAACACACAAATATAGATTTTACTATACTTATATTACTGTCTGAATAATGAAAAGTAAAATAACAAAAATACCGAACTCCATGGAAAATTCAAATCGGAAAGTCCCTTATCACTGAATGGCAAAATCAAAAGCTCAAACCCATCAAACAAATGGAAAACAACTGTCATTTTATATATAGTATACATATTTATATATCTAGCTAAAATTACCTTTAAAAATAGTCCTCTTGGTTAAAAAGAGTTTCCATTTTCGTTTCCTTTATAAACATTACCGATTGTCGACAAGTCAGTCATTTCTACATACGGGTATCTAGTATGTAATACAATACCCATCAATGCAATGCAATATATGTTTATTGAACCAATAACAAAAGATCAACTTTAATAGACTTTAGTGCGGAATTTAGGAGTTGTAATAAACGGAGGGAGCAGTGGGAGGAAGCTGCATGCATTAATTTTTATCACTCTTTGCACTTATCTCAAAGTGAAAGGCTGGAGTGTTAAGCACATAATCATGGCATAATAATGAGAGAATAAAGAAAATTGAGTAAATTGAAGTTGTATCGAAAAAAAAATTAAAAAGATATAAGAAGATGTGGTATGAGTGCCAATGAGACAACTCTCCATCCAAGTCAAAATTTATAAAAGTAAACCATTATAGGTCACAGTACGGTCTTCAACACGGAGCCTTGGCTCACACCGAACAGTAAGCTATAAAGGGCCCCAAAAATTACTAGTGTAAAACCATTCAAACGGGAAAACCAACGGTCTAATCTATATAAAACGAGAGACGAGAAACACTTATGAACCACATCAACAAACGACAACTACTGAACATCAGATTCCTGACTTAGGACAGGTGCAAAAAAAAAACTATTAATCTCTGAGAAACCCATTTTTCTCTGTTCTTTATATTTTAGCAACCCATTATTCTCTATTCCTAATTTTTTGGTCTGAGTAGTATGGGTCCGTTGATCTTAGTAATATGGGTCCGTTTATCTGTGTAACATGGGTCCAATGATCTGATTAATAATGGTTTGATGATCTGAGTAGAATGGTTCCGAAGAACAGAGTATCCGATCAACAGAGTAGCATTGTTCCAATGATCTGAGTATATGCCCGTTGAGATGAGTAGTATGGGTCCTTTGATCTTAGTAGTATGTGTCCGTTTATCTAAGTAGTATGGGTCCGTTGATATGTGTAGCATGGGTCCAATGATATGAGTAGATGTCCTTTGAGATGAGTATCCCCCCCCCCTTTTGTGGGAAAAAATTGGTTGATTATATAGGGAATCACTGAAGCATGACTGGAGCGGGCCCCCTCTTATGAAAATTTCTAGATCCGCCACTGTATGGGTCCGTTGATATGTGTAGCATGGGTCCAATGATCTGAGTAGATGTCCTTTGAGATGATTATATGCCCTTTAAGATGTGTAGTTATGGGTCCGTTGGTCTTAGTAGTTTGGGTCCATTGATATGAATAGTACGGGTATGTTGATCTGAGAGGTATAGGTAAAAAAAAACTCTGAGTAGTATGGGTTCTTTGGTCTGAGAAGTATGGGTAAAAACCCTGAGTAGTATGGGTCATTTTGTCTGAGAAGTATAGGTTAAAACCCTGATTAGTATCATTAGTATGGGTCCGTTGGTCTTGGTAGTATGGGTCCGTTGATCTGAGAAGTATGGGTCGTTGAACTAAGTAGTATGGGTCCGTTGATTTGAGCAGTATGGGTCCGTTGATCGGAGTAGTATGGGTCCGTTGATCGGAGTAGTATGGGTCCGTTGATCGGAGTAGATGGTCCATTGAATAGGGTAATAAGGGTCCGTTGATCTCAGTAGTAAAGGCCCGTTGATCTGAGTAGCATGGGTCTGCTGCTCTTAGTAGTATGGATCCGTTGATCTGAGAAGTATGGGTTCGTTGATCTGAGAAGTGTGGGTCCGTTGATCTGAGAAGTGTGGGTCCGTTGATCTGAGAAGTATGAATCCGTTGCTCTAAGTAGTATCGTTTCTTTAGTCTGAGTGGTCCGTTGATCTGAGAAGTATGAGTCTGTAAATCTGAGTAGTATGGGTATGTTGATCTGAGTTATATGGGTTTGTTAGTCTGAGTAGTACTGGTCCAATTATTTTAGTAGTATGAGTCCGTTGATTCGAGTAGTAGTATGGGTCCGTTGATCTGAGTAGTATTGGTCCGTTGATTTGAGTAATATGGGTCCGTTGATCTGAGTAGTACATTTATGGGTAAGTTGATATGTGTAGCATGGTCTCAATGATCTGAGTAGCATGGGTCTAATAATCCAAGTAGTTTGGATCTGTCGATCTGTGTAGCACGAGTCTAATGATCTGAATAGTATGGGTCGAATGATCTGAGTAGTTTTGGTTCGTTGATCTGTGTAGTATGGGTCCAATGATCTGAGTAGCATGGATCCAATGATCTGAGTAGAATGGTCCGTTGATCTTAGTAATATGTGTCCGTTTATCTTAGTAATATGGGTCCGTTGATATGTGTAGCATGGGTCTAATGATCTGAGTAGATGTCCTTTGAGAAAACTCTGAGTGGTATGGGTCCTTTGGTCTGAGAAGTATAGGTAAAAACACTGAGTAGTATGAGTCCTTTGGTCTCAGAAGTATAGGTTAAAACACGGAGTAGTTTGGGTCCTTTGGTCTGTGAAGTATAGGTTTAAACACTGAGTAGTATGGGTCCTTTGGTCTGAGAAGTATAGGTTTAAACACTGAGTAGTATGTGTCCTTTGGTCTGAGAAGTATGGGTTAAAACACTGAGTAGTATGGGTCCTTTGGTCTGAGTAGTATGGGTAAAAACCCTGAGTAGTATGGGTCCTTTGGTCTGAGAAGTATGGATTAAAACACTGAGTAGTATGGGTCCGTTGGTCTGAGTAGTATAGGTCCTTTGGTCTGAGAAGTATGGGTTAAAACACTGAGTAGTATGGGTCCTTTGGTCTGAGTAGTATGGGTAAAAACCCTGAGTAGTATGGGTCCTTTGGTCTGAGAAGTATGGATTAAAACACAGAGTAGTATGGGTCCTTTGGTCTGAGTAGTATAGGTTTAAACACTGAGTAGTATGGGTTCTTTGGTCTGAGAAGTATGAGTTAAACACTGACTATTATGGGTCCTTTGGTCTGAGAAGTATGGGTTAAAATACTGAGTAGTATGGGTCCTTTGGTCTGAGAAGTATGGATTAAAACACTGAGTAGTATGGGCCCGTTGGTCTGAGTAGTATAGGTCCTTTGGTCTTAGTAGTTTGAGTACACTGATGTGATTAGTATTGGTCCGTTAAGCTGAGAAGCATGGATAAAAACCCAGAGTTATATAGGTCCGTCTATCTGAGAAGTATGGGTAAAAACCCAGAGTAGTGTGGGTCCGTTGGACTGAGAAGTATAGACAAAAAGCATGAGTAGTATGGGTCCGTTGATCGGGACTTATTGAAGAAACAGTTTAAGATCAGTTTCAATTTATGGTAATAAAAGTACAAATCAGACATATTGGCACTCATACCACATCTTCTTATATTTATATAATATTTCATATTGAAATACAAATATTACCTAATTATAAAGGTTTATATTATTAAATTTGTATATTTTTACTAATTTGATTCGTTCAAGAATATTCACATGTTAAACTATAATTTCAAAAGTCGAATGAAAACGGCGGATAGAAAAGTGATATTGCACGGTTATTTTTAGAATATCTAAAAACCGATATACTTTGTGACTTCATCTAATGAATGTCATGATATTGTTAAAAGTTTATATTTATGAACGATTATTTGAAAAAAAATCTTCAAACACATAAGATGAACACAAAAAACATAAAACATTATATTTGACATAACAACTAATATGTTGTTTTTGTCAAAGAGACAATATGATATCTATAAAATTCCAACAAAATTACATGATCAAAAAAGATGATTGTATAATGCAGTGACGATTTTGATACAAATATGGTCAGTAATTAATAATATAAAAATTAATTTATAGCCTTTGTATGAGGTCAATACAGGATATATCGACCTAAAGAAGTATATAGACATCGGACTTCGTGCTCAGTCAATATGCTTTTTCAGGTCAATATATCCTTGTATCGACCTCATACAAAGGCTATAATTGTATAATATTATTAATTCATATATTCCAACTAATTTGATTCGTACAGGAATAGTCACATGTTAAACTATATTTTCGAAGGTAGATAGAAAACGGCGGATAGCAAAAGTGATATTGCACGGTTATTTTTAGAATTTCTAAAAACCGATATACTTTGTGACTTCATGTAATGAATTTAATGATATTGTTAAAAGTTTTTAAAATGTGTATATTTATGATCGATTATTTGAAAAAAAAATCTTCAAATACATAAGATGTACACAAAAAACATAAAAAATAATTGAAATAACTCTAATATATTGTTATTGTCAAAGAGACAATATGATATCGAAAAAAGAGAATATATTGCACAGACGAGTTTGATACAAATATGGTCAGAAATTAATAATATAACAATAATAGCCTTTGTATGAGGTCAATACAGGATATATCGACCAAAAGAAGTATATTGACCTCGGACTTCGTCCTCAGTCAATATACTTCTTTCTACATCACAATAAAATAAGTTAAACTGCAGGTTTATGCATGTGGGAAATCAATAGAAGGTTATGAATATTGATAGTTATATTGTTTTTATCAATATATATGTATTGTTATACGGGTATAAACAGTAACGGTCCTACATTATGTCGATACTTTTATTTAGGCATCGCACAAGGTCATGTTTTTCTTACATAAATAAAAAGATGTGATATGATTGCTATTGAGACAACAGTTACTCTCCATCAGAGACCAAATGACATAGAATTAAGTTTATTGAAATAATGCACAATTATATACCCCAATGGGGTTGATGGGATACATGAAAACAAAATAACACATTACATAATACATCACAAAAATAATAAAAGGACATGAATTCATATATGCACATGTCATGCAGTTGTTGAATCCACTCTCCTCGGTGACCAGGACTTTTTGATAAATGGATAGGTGAAAGTGTGACCTTCAACAATGAGTAAATCACATTCCGCTCAGCAAAAGGCCCCGAAATGACAAATGTAAAACAATTCAAAGAAGAAAACCGATGTAATGGTCTGGTTTATGTACAAACAATAAATGAAAAACGAATATGATATACAGCAACAAACAACAACCAGAGATCCGCAGAATTATGCCATTCCAAGGCGCAGAACAGTTTCATATTAAAGAAGTTTCATACCATCTGCTCTGGAATGAATTAGATCCTTATGTA